ATTTTTAAATATTATAAAGGTAAAAGACAAATATTATGCAAAGTAATAGATCGTACCTTTTTTATTTCTAAGATAGTACCGTCCTTAATTACTGTGTTGAAAGTTTTGACAATTTGTTCTTATTCTATATCAGATTAGTACATCAGCAAGCAATAATTAATTTTCACAGGTCTAAGTATTTGATTATAAAGCAATAAATTGGTAATTTGTAGGAAATGACCATGAACATTTTCATTTGAAAATTAATGTGTTGTAAAGATACGTAACAAACGATGATCTTTTTTTAGAAAAGAAAATTTTTTTAATTCAAAAATTATTTACACAATTGTGCTATGAACAAAGTCAAGGTTACGACATAGAATAAAATTACGATATAGGAGAATGATCAACAATAGAACTGGATTGGTTTAATAGAACACGTTTTCATCTTAATTGGGACAACAATTACTTCAAAGATTCACATCATTAGCGTCAATTATTCATTTGTTCTATTTCAACAATGAGCATTTTCGTTCCCTCTGTAATGAAATTGTTTCGAAGTTCATTTTTCATTGCATTTCATCTCAGCCAAAAATCATTGTGTCTAATGTTTTAATCAATAATTATAATCTTTTAATATAAGATTCAGGAAAAAAGAAAATATAAAGCTTAATAACAGAACGTCTTGAATATTCCTAAAAATCCTGAAAAAAATTGTAATATCGATGTAGCATGAAATTCAGTTTGTTATGTAGCTTAAAATCTTTTCAATCGTCAAAAATTTTTATGTGATAACTATTTTATCTCGTTTTATGATTTCCGAAATTACATCTTGTATAACTGTTATCGATTTATTAAATGTGTAGTGAGGCAATTAGAGAATTTGGAAAATAAAGGAGGAGCAGTAAAGAATTTTTATATATTAATTGTCATCAATTAGTGCTTAATTAATGAACCATTTATATTTCAGCAGAATTTGTTTCCAAAACTTGATTTGAAAGGAAAAAATTAAATGAAATCTGAAGTCATTATAAGACATTGTGTTGCCTAAATGCTTATCTCAGTCAGAAAAATAGTCCAGAACTGATTCTTTTTCAATTCAAACATTATAAAGCAAATAATGAAATGACAAGCTCTGGAAGGTAGTGCTCCCACGCGAGAATTAATATATCAGTTTTTGAAACTTAAAATATACGATTGGTTTAATTGTTAGAAATTATAATTGCTTGGGTGATTTGTTTGTTTCTTTACAATTATTAGAAGCAACTCAAGATATTAAATAGATTCTCAAATGACCTGTTCAGCTCGTCTATTTCAGCCGTGCGAACGCTTATGGGAAAAAAATAGCAGTTGTACTGAATGCAACACGTCGGTATGTCACGTTTTTTGCTTTGAAAATACTTATTTAATTTGCTTGAAATTCATTCCAATACAGACGTATGATCACATAAAAAATTATGTCCTATATATTCAAATTTCAGCACATGCTTTCAAATTTCATATTTCTAAGTTTCATTAAAAATAAAGGATTGTAAGAAAAGCTCCTAATCTCATTTTTAACGCCTAAAAAATTAATCACCTTATTTCCTTCACCTTGATATTTTCATACTACTTTAAATCGCAGAATTCATCCGCATAAGGACGGAAGTTCTGAAGCAGAATGATCCCAAAACGTCTACGAAATTAAAATGTCAGGAAATTTTCATATAATTTACTCTGTAAACTTCCAACAGACTTTATTTATTTCTTGTAGAGAAGTTGACATTAATAGAAAACATGAAGTGAGCAATCAATAACAGAAATCGCCAAACATGTCATAAATTACAAATTACCGCCAGTTATTACATATAAGTTTCTTCAACGGAAAAGAAGCGAAGCATGCAAGGAAATTGCATGAAAAATTAATACAAAACAACAAACGTTTTCAAGTAAACAAAATTTGATAATAATCTGCATGTCAACAAGAAAAATTAAAAAAATTGTTAATATACTCAACTCCTCAGGCAGTATTAGCTGTTCAAACTTCGGTGGTGATTATCAGCTTAAAAGAAGGAAAACCTAAAAATTGAAGATATCCAAAAATTCTGCGACTATCCTTTCTTTATCGGCTTCATCCTGGTCAGTCGTGCGTATTGAAATCCTGAATACATTGTTGTTGCTGCAGTAGCACAACTAAAAAATATTTCATTACCTCATATAAGTAATAGATAAATGAAAGTAACAGACAAAAGTAATTACGAAATTTTCTTTGGGAAAAATTTTTTTTAGAAATATTCATTAGTGAATGATAAACTCGACTTACTAAATATAAGTTAGAAAGGGATGACTTGTAAAGCCTAATAAAGGGGCTGCTAGGCTTCCAGCGATTGCACACATTTGAAGTGCCGTATTTACCTAAATTTGTTCAAGTCCAAAATGCAATATCATACAATAATTTTCGCAACAGTTTAGAAATTAGTATTTCCAGGAAATATATCCAATAAAATAAAACCAGTCCAACAGTTACAAGAAATCTCACCAGTACTTCGTAAAATATGTATATCTATAATTGAAGATTTCCTATTAATTGACTAATAAAGCTCAGACTCGTCAATTAAATCAAAAACTAATGTCCGAAAAAAAAATTACTCACTTCGCTCACTAAATTTTCACTCGTTAAATATGATTAGCTATGTTAAACATAAAAACCTTTGACTAAAAAAAGAAAAACAAAAGGAACTAGTAAAAGTCTAAAACATAAAACCTAAAAATAAGAAAACTGAAATCTGTAACTTTAAAAAAAAGAATAACACTAAGAAAATGGCTGCATAACTTTCGCTTAATTTTTTCAAAGAAGCAGGCAGAAAGATAAAGAAATACAAACCTTACTGACAGACGTTGGTGTGACTTGAAGTGGTGAAATAGATGGACTGAAATACCGAACCAGTGTTATCGGTCTTTCCATTGTTTTGTATCTAGTCACAGCTCCACCAATAATAAGGCCAATATCTCGTAAAATAACCAGAACGGTAAGCGCCACTAAAATTAAAATGTTGTAAATGCAGTAGAATGTAAGCATTGAGAAAAGAGTTAACATTAATATCAAATAAGAAAAATTACAAGGAATAAGTTTGACGTAAGTGAGGGCAACAAAAACGGTTGTGATGAGTAATTTATCAGCCACAGGATCAATTATACTACCAACCAGCGAACTTTGATTCCGAACGTTTCGCGCAATATATCCATCCAACTGAAACTGAATAAATGTGTAACGGCTATCAGAAAATTATGAAAAAAATCCTTTCAACCATAATTTATGAAAAATCAATACGTCTTTTAACCCTCACTATGATGAATTCCTTAATTCTGTGAGGAAAACATTTCAGAACTAACAAATCAGCAGCACACTAAAACATAAGAACTGAACGACTAGTACAGGTATTCTTTTTAATATTGGCTACTCAGCACAATGTTACATCTTTTATTGATAATTAATGAGAAACAACGTTCAGAAATAAAAAGAATCAAAAAGAACAGAGGGAAAAAAGATGAACTAAGCGGTATAAAGTTTAGGATTTCATCTTTTTATTAAGCAAGACGAAATAATCAAATATTATTAAGCTTTAAAATACTTAATAAAATCACGGTTAAACGAACCCAGTCCGTTATTCCACTGACGGCAAATAAGGCCAGTGCAGTCATGTGGGATTCTTTTACTATTAAATATCCAATTAATGGTGTCAATCCAATTCTGAAACTATCTCCAGAAAATCTGAATAGACACTAAATTGCAGCTTGTTTCAGTTTGAAAAATTATTTATCTTCCATTAATAAAGTAAGTGTCACAAAGAATTTAATAATTTGCAATCAAGAGAAATAAATATAGGATAGATTATAACTCAAATATGAATGAGTTGCGCTTAATGCTTCTTTATAGATAAATGATAACTTAATGTTCAAGCAGACTTGATAGCAAATGAGATTAATATACGCAGTTACACATTAAAGAATGGAACCTGAATAAGCATAAAGCATTCGGTATAGTTGCAATTTTGTTGCCAGGCTCATTTTGATTCTCGCCTAGTTTTACTTTCACCTTCACAATATGTTGAGAAGTGCAGATCCCAATACTGCTGAAAATAATATGTGATTATTTTAACCTGAAATCTATCCTTCTTTTACAACAAACTTATGAACACAGAACAATTTTCCCTATCAAATTAAGAAATTTTCGTTTAAAGAAATAGTCTTGATGCCTCAATACTAGACTACCAAATTCACACTGTGAATATACAATGACTGCGAAATATATGAATTCATCAATGCAAATAGGAAATTTAGAATTTAAACAGTTAGGAAAATATTTCTCAAAAAAGCGTATAAATAAATTAGTGGAAAAATTTGATTCTCAAATGTTTACCCATTTAAGTTCAAAAATCGTGTCGAAGCAGAGGTAATCGATGGAAAAGAAACTGCAGCGGGGTATATCACCACTGAGAGCGCTCTTCTACATGAAATCAGATGCCGGGGACATATCCTCCGAAACATTCGACTCACAGATCGATACACTCCGATGTACGCTGCAGACAAGGCTCGAGGAAACTGCAAACGTGAGAGCCTTGTAATTTACTGCATCCACGGGATGTGACTCGAGCGAGTACGCTGAGCAGAGTTATTGCAATCCATTTGAAACAGTCCTGGTAGTAGACACCTTCTCAGGACTGGGAGTGGGACGACACCACTTAACCTTTGACACCTATCCTTGTACAGAGCACCGGATCAGCAAAACAAGTCTTTTGTTCAGGGTGTGAGAGACTGTGTGTTTGAGGAGACGCAAGAATAGATGGTAAATTTACATAGTGACGAGAGTTGGAGACATGGAGAGAGGGAAAGATCTGAATGGAATCCATCCCGCTATAATTTCTTCGAACAACAATGAATCACGGGTTCTCGGGGCGACCTTCACGTATGTTGGATGAGCGTTGGAAGGAATAAGGCTTTTGGTCGGAAATAAGGAACAGTAAAATCGTTGAGTCGATTGATGAGCCTAAAAAACTGTTACGACGTTACGACGTTACATGTGTCATCGACTTATAAAGCACCGTGTGTAAGCTTTCAGGAAGTGTCCGTTTTCATTTTAAATTCAGCAGGCAGACAATTACGACGCTTCTCAACATTTGCCACTTTCGATCCATATGAAATTTTCGAGATTTTTTTCATCAAAGTTGAAATTTTGACTTCTTTATGGGATGTAAAATTTGTTGAGTTGACAAATAAATTCGTTGAGAATTCATTGTTTACAGTGTTATTTCATGTTTCATTTTACTTCTTTTTGGAAAAAGCGTTTCGGAGCTGTATGTATTCTAAGTTATTAGTTCTCATGACCTTATGCGAATAAATTGATAACCTCTCTCCCGTGACTTCTTGTCTTTTATATGAAAATATATGATATTTATATGAAGATCATTGGTATGTATTCTAAATTATTAGTGTAATCCGGTTTCTCATGACCTTATGCGGATAAATTGATAACCCCCCTCCCGTGACTTCTTGTCTTATATGAAGACATATGATATTTATATGAAGATCATTGCCCGAGTTTGGTAATCCCCTCCCCTCTTTCCCCTCCCCCTTCCCAAGACGTCTTGTCTTTCTGTTCCTCAATTCATTTTCATCCGTAAAAGCAGTGTTCCCAGGTCACTATGTTCAAGAATGCGACAACATTTCTTACCAAAATTTTTCTGATTAACGGCACAATATGAAGTTTCGCAACACTGTTTTCTGCCGTTGAATGTTTCATCATAATTTGAAATTCATTACAATCGATAGAATAGAAGTTATAATTATTGATAGTTATCCACAGCTTTTGATGTGATGGTGCAATATGTTTCACGAACGAGTGGCAATGTTTATAATTTTTAAAACTTATAAATATGGGACGATGGAAAATTATCAAATAATTTAGAACGAACAAATTAAATACATTTTAGAAACAGATGAAGATTATTAATTCTGATTGCAGTAATTTGACCTCATGATTCAATTTTCCGGTTTTTTTCGAGTTTGAAATTTCTCATTACGTTGTCAGTGTCCTCGTATCATTACGTTATCAATGTCCTCGTAAAGAGATATATGTGTGCAGTCATGGGAGTTAAAATTAATCGAACATAATTTTTTAAAAGAATCAAACTCAGATTTTATGTCTCTGGGGTATATTACACATTTATTTCTGTCCCTTGAAAATAGCATTCATATATTACAAACACTGAAAATTTTGCAGATGATCTATGGCAGGTAATAATATTTTACTTTTCGCAAATGTATTTCATCATACTAATATATAAATTTTCATATTATCATATCTCTTTATTTTTGACAGGAAAAATTTTATAAATTCAATTCACGATACTCTTTCACATTGTTCCAAATATTCTGTTTCTTGACAGTAACATCCAAAAAATAGTGAAGTTCTCTGTTTATTAATTCGAAGAAAAAGAATTTAAAATTATCGGAGAAAGAGAGAAATAAGGGGGAATAGGATAGTGTAGAGGGTATTAGTTTTACATTAATGATTTCACGGAGATTTAAGGTAAAGGCTGTTATTATAACTGGGTTACAAATGTCCAAATCTACATTTGGACATCTGTAAATGATGCATCATACGGAAAAACATATCTGAGGGTCAGCAATAGATTGACAGTCATCCGTTTCTCAGTTTACTCACTATTGATTCCTTAAATTACTAAAATGCACTTTTACTTTTGATCCACGAAATTTAGGCGATTTTTTTATCTGACGCATTAAATCTTCTCTAATTCAAAATACGCATTTAGTAAAATTTTTTTAGTAAAAAAAAATTTATACATGCATTTAGTAAAAACAAATTGAAATAAAAATTATAATGCAAAAGTATTGTTACAAAATATTAGATGAATGGTTTTTCGCTACGAATTATATGCAAAAACACTGCTGAATTATTTTTTTAATTTAGTGATCGCTAAGAGAGATGTGGGAAATTCAAAAAGAAATTCTAACAGAAGAAATTGGTTCATTTTGCTCTCCTTTCTTTTGAAATTGGAAATTATTTCTTGAAAAAATGAAAACGACTCGAGGCACGATAAAAAAGTGATAGCTTTATGCAGTGAAATTTTGAATGAATTAATATAAAAGAAAATATGCTAACAGCTGAAGCTAAGAGGAGGTGATAGAATAAGCAAGCTTTCAAGTTGTTCGCGAAATTAGATTATTGAGAAGTAATTTCCAGATTTCATTAACAAAACAATAGCAAACGATTATTAAAAAGCCCTACAACTTCTGCTGCTTGAAAAAACCAAAAATTTTATTTTGACTACTCAAAACGAAATCATTACTCTCGGATATTTGAATTTGAAAAAAAAATTTTACGCAGAAGTGGCAAATACTGTATAGTAAATTTTTGCACATTAATGGAACATAATAATTGCCCATATTATCTTTTGACAAATCAGATTTATTTACTGATTGGAACAGAACGATTGATGTTGGAATACCGCAATTGTAGGTTTATTCGATTAGCTTGACGATAAAACCCGTAGAATTTAACAAAATCAGATAAAACCGTTTTATTTCTACACTATTTTGATCTTTGATACTTGTTTGACATCGAGAAATACTGAAAGCTATCTCATTAAGAAGATGAGAGAGAGAGAGAGAGAGAGAGAGTCTGCACTGCAGATTCTTCTAGTTTTCTAGAATGCAAAATCTGATCCATACATTTAATTGAAATTTCAGTTATAAAGGCTCTCCTACCATCGATAACAGAAGAATGTCTTTGTTATCGCCGTTAGAGAATATTGCAAATTTGTGGGAAATGAAATCCAACTCGTTTTGAGACAAAAACGAATGAATGTATAAATATGAGCAAAACATTTCCCATCACCGTATGCTCTTCCTATTTTAGAAAATGCAAGAAACAAAAATTGTGATTATCATAGCATCCGGCTGTAGTGCATTTGCAATTATTGCATGCTTGACGATGATCCCTTCTGCATATAGAGTGATAAAAGAGATCGGTGATGAAGTAATGGATGAGGTACAGGTATGTGCTTAGTTACGATTTTCTTAAATGTCTGAAAAAAGTTAAAATTAAACTTCCAAGAAACTCTTATAAAATTTTAAAATTTTAAGAAACTCTTATAAATTCTGGAATGCTTATTCATTAATTGAAGTTTTTTAATTTAGAAAATCAATTGTAATTAAATAAGTAATGGACATCAAAAATGAAAGTTTTCAATCTTTGATGAATTACTTCTCAGCCACCTTTTTCTGATGAAAATTTGACTATCCTATCCAAAAAATATAAATAAATTTCTCTGTATTTTTTTATTAGTATTATTCATTTCTTGCGCTAAAGAATATATTAGGATATTTTATTACTAATTTTGTATTTTTATTCCTAGATTTTCACTTCTGTATAATTTCTTGCAAATTACATTCAAATTCTGTATTTTTTAAGCTTTTTGAAAATTTTCGTGAAATTCCCTGCCTTTTCATTTTCTAAGCAATAATATTTGCCATCACATCACAAAATATTATCTGAAATCTTAAGTTCAATAAATTAGTAAGTGATAAAAACAGAGAAGGGAATTTTATTGGACAACTAATTGATAACTTCTTGTTTTACTTACTAACTTTATAT